TTAAAATAAAAAAATTTTCATTACCATTGCACATTAAATTTTATTACATAAAATGCACATTCATTTTCTATGAAAAACAATCTATCTATAAATGTCGTGCACATTATTTTTTCATTACAGATTTTCGTGACCAAAATAAAATCGACTGACATCAGTCATTATGTTGCTTATCCTCTTTAGTAGCATAGATTATAGTAATAGTCAAGAAATAACAGATAAAAAATATTTTTAAGTAGCATTTATTCCGTGACGAGAATCGTTGTAAATGGAAAATAACCTCGTTGATTAAAGAAAATTATTTCGGAAACCATCCGCCTGGACTCTAAAACGCTCATTATTGCTTGATTGCATTTTTAATAAATAGGAGCGTGCAGTCGTCATCGCGAAAATATCAGTCCAGACGAAAGAGAAAGTATCGTACGAGGAATTTTACGAGCCCTTCGCTAAGAATTATTACTGGCCGTATCGTCAGCACGGCATTAGCCAGGAAAATAATTTCCCTTCCTTATCGATGAACCAAGGTGCTCTCCAAGCTTTCCCGCTAATAATTAAAACTATTCCTCGTCACGGCTTGAATGAACAAAGAAAGCGTCTGCCACCATTCAAATTGACCGTCGCGCGCGACTTATCACGAGCCAGCTGCTTTGACCTCCGGAGGGCTGCAGTGGGGAGGGGCCGTAAAATCCTAATGCAAGTTATAAAAATAGCGCGGGCAAATGGCTTCATCCAAGTCCCCGCGCACCCCTCAAATCAAGTTCAAATCCGCGTGCGACCTAGAAAAGCGTCGGCTCCTGAGCCGAGGGAAGCACCGCGGGTAAGCCGAGTTCCGTGGCCGATTACGTCACGCGGACTCGTCGGCAGCCGAGTCGGATCTCGATGATGCCGGTCGTCATCGGGAGGCGGTCGATCGCGAAATCATCGCCGCTTTCACGATCGTAGCGTTGGCCCCGACTCGGGCTGAACTTGGCTGACGCCCGGGAGGTTTCACGGTCGACGGCGCTGGCCACTTCGACTTTTCCCTCTCGCACGCGAACTAAATCGAATCCAGGAAGTCGCCCGTGTAATATCACGAGGCTTGCCCACGCGCTCGTTTATTTTCGAAGATTGCACAAATGCGCGAGCGCTTCCGGTTTCGTAAGGCCGAGCGCTTTTAGGATTTTGCGAGCTTGCGAGCGCTCGCATTGCCGAGGATGCCAGATTAAACATTTTCGACCGCCGATGCTTTGATTCGCGAGCGGCTAAAGCTCCGAGCCGAGTCTTTCACTTTCGATGGGTCGCGCGCTAGTGTAAGAGCAGCGCGAGAGGATCGAGGGAAGCAAGAAGTCGGAGATTCACGGCATACCGATATAGGGAAGTAGAAAAAGAAGCAGCGAGCGAGCGTTGGAAAGGGAAGCTAAAGGGGAACGGGAGAGAAGGGCATCGCAATGGAGGACGAGCAACAGTCAAGTTGCAGAGAGCGAAGAAGAGGCCGCGGGGGCGGAGGAGTTGAAGGATGACGGTGTAGAAGATGTGTCGGCGAGGGGATTAGTAGAACGGCGAGGGGGGTGGGGAGGGGGAGGGGACGGCATAGAGGACAAGAACTCGGCGACTAGCGAGCGAGTCGTGGACGGCGGTGAAAAAGCGAGAGGCCGAGTGGAATAGAGTGCGAGCGCAAGCGCAGGCGCGCGGAATCTCACTATATATAGTTATAAGCTTCCTAGGAGTAGATATACACACGTGTATATATAGACGTTCGACTCGTTCTCCAGAGTCAAGGACGCTCAGTGCTCCTACCGCCGCCACCACCACTACCACCAGCACCGCCGATACCACCACCACCACCACCACCACAACCACCACAACCACCACCACCACAACCACTACCACCGCCGCTGCTACCACCGACATTACGTTCCTAACGCTGTACATTATGCACTGTACAGTGTACAATCGCTCGTGCGCTGCATCGCGCGAAAACCTGCCTGCTTGCCTCCCTCTCCCTCTTACCTACCTCCGCCGCTCCAGCCCCCCTCGACCTCAGCAGAAGAAAAGGAGGATTATATCCTACATACCCAGCCACCTACCTACCGCTGCCACCGCTTCGTTCTTCGATAGCAGCAGCTCGCTTTCCCTCCTCTCCCCTCACCCCATCCCACGCAGCCCCATCCGCCGTCGCGCACCAGAGCGCGAGCCGGTTCTCTCCTCCCGGGATGCTCGCGGGTATTTCTCCTCCCCTTCCTCTTCTTGAGATTCTGCACGGTCTCTACTTGTGTAGGTATACATACTCGCCAGCGCAAAAATGTTGGCTCGCCAGCCGCGCTGAAACACTGAAACACTGACCGTACGAACGCGCGAGAGTGAGCGATGGAGAAAGGGAGGAAAGGAAGGAGCGAGGAAGGGCGGGCGGGGAGGAGGGAGAGGTTCAACCGCGACGAAGAAACTGAGAGACCCAGTCACCTTCTTACGTAATTCCATGTGCATTTTTCATATGGTCGCGGATGCAGCGAGTACTGCGGTGTTTTTTTGTTACGCTGGGGGAGGTACTCGGGAGAATCTTGACAACTTCCTAGAACCGGATGTTGAAAAGTTCCGAGCCACGAGCTTTGCTATCGAGGCCTGCAAGAGAGAGAGAGAGAGAGAGAGAGAGAGAGAGAGAGAGAGAGACCCAATGTCCCAGCGATCAATTCACCAGTTTTGCAGTGCTGCTTGCTTCTTTCGAGGGCATTTCCCTTGCGACTACGCGAAAATTCTGATTTTCGGCCATAGTCAGCGAGAGAGAGAGAGAGAGAGAGAGAGAGAGAGAGAGAGAGAGAGAGAGAGGGGACGGAGCAGAGATAAAAAGAGAGTTTTCAATAATTTTTAATTATATGACGATAATACAAGTATATTTCATTCGTTTGTTCATTAGATTATTGTCAAGGATTCGAAGAACCGTTATGTTTTTCATATTATATATTAAAGTCGTTCGTTTCCTTATAAGTTTTATTAAAAAATCAGCAGATCTTGTGTCAATGACATTTGATGTTTTTCAGCACAAAAATATAAACAGTGTTGTATTTATAATTTATAAATACGCTTTAAGAATCATTACTTATCATCCTATAGCGTAACAATTTGTTTCGACATTAATAAACTATAGTTATGAATAATGTCGCAATAGTTTTGAGTCGAAGAGGAGAAGGTCTAATTGTTACGTGAATTATTTGAGAAATTACTTAGATGTAACAATTGGCGCTTATGTAGCTCTTGGCGGACAGAATATGACAAGGTCTCATATGTAAATGGAGGTGAATTAAGTAAACGAGACTATGACGAAATAACAATTTTGTCCCCGTGACTTCCAGTTGTTAATTTAAGAAAGAGACTCGAACGATGATGAAAATTGAATGGTGTCTAGAAAAAAAACAAAAAAACAAAAAAAAAAAAAAACAAAAAAAAGGTAGGATCCTGTTTAAGCGTTTGTTTTTTCGTGAGCGTTTGGAGAACTGGCGACTTCTTTCTGAAGCCTCGCTTGACAATTTGACAGGATGCTGCTCGGAAATTCGTCGACCTTTGACACGGAAAATATTACAATCATCATTGCTCTGCACATCCTTCAAATGTCACAATGATTTACGTATTATTATGTCATGGAACAAACGACTCATTACTTACCAGATCAAAGATTTTATAAAGAGGATAGTTAGAGCGGCGGCCAGCCACGACTCCTCCCAATGCCGAGATGCAAGGCCGTGGAAAAATAATAGCAAGACATCCGGCATCTCCGTCGATGCCTCCACCTACGCGTTGTGGGTGCGACCGCTGGAAAATCAGCGGCCGACCTTGACACACACGCCTCTGCCACCGAAGGCTAGTCGCTAATTATTCCCGGTAATCCCAACAATGCGCAATTGAGATCCTATTATCCGTCCCCCACCTCAACACCCAACCCTACCCAACTCAACCCAATCCAACCCATCCCATCCCATCCCATTCCATCGGAATCTGAGCTGCCACCTATCCATCCACCTTGTGGCTTCTTCAATGCCACATCCATCGCTTTTCAACACGATGCATAGGAGCCCTCGATTTTCCGAGTCCGATACTTCTTACCCTCGTTGCCTTTAATGCGTAACGCGTATTGTGCGAGTGGGAGTGGGAAAAAAAATAAGTCAACACCTCGTTATAAGAGAGGCCGAGTGGAAGTGTGTCTAGTTCGCCTCGACTTGGTAATCGATACACTTACAAGTTCGCGCCAGCGCCTCGACATCATTCAATTGCTAAAATTCTAATCGAGACTAGAGCAGCCACGCTCTTTGTCCGTTATCATCCCCCTCTCGCATTACAATCACTTCGCAAATTTCGTACAATTTTTAATCTTAGCTCGCGTACATTTCATTCGTCGTCCCTTAAATTATTATCCGTCATTTGTAATTTATGTTTATATTTATATAATGTCCCGTGTCCCACGCACGCGACGAATAACTTGCGAATAAGCGGAGTCGATAGGGTGGGTGACTTCAGCTCGCTGGAATCATTGAGAAAAATGAAGGATCGATCGGGCTTTCCCTGATCGATTAACGATAAAGAGACGGCGATTAACGCCAAGAGACAAAAAATAAATAAATAAATAAATAAAATAAATAAATAAAATAAATAAATAAATAAACAAATAAATAAATAAATAAATAAATAAAAAGTAAAATAAAATAAAATACAAATACAAATGCTGCCAACAAAACCATATTGAGGTTAGCGTACGACGAGTTGGCACTCGTGATGAGGACGCGAGAAAGCCGAGGTGCCGCCAAGTAAGGATGACCTCGCGAGACCGAGGACGAGTATAGAGCTCGCCTCGATCTCGCCTCGATCTCGTCTTCGCCCGTAGCCCTTAACCCGGCGCGATAAATGGGAGGGATCGAGAGCGTAGAGAATCACGGTCGCCCGATACCCATTGTGCCGACTAACGACGGCAGGTGTAGTAGTCTCGACGTAGCTTGGGCCGAATTCGCTGACCGCGGGCTTCCGCTTACGTGTTGCAGGAAGGGACGACCTGTCGCCGCCGAGCTCCCTCAACGGCTACAGCGCCGACAGCTGCGACGCGAAGAAGAAAAAGGGCCCGACGCCGCGGCAGCAGGAGGAGCTCTGCCTCGTATGCGGCGACCGGGCCTCCGGCTACCACTACAACGCCCTCACCTGCGAGGGCTGCAAAGGCTTCTTCCGGCGCAGCATCACCAAGAACGCCGTCTACCAATGCAAGTACGGTAACAACTGCGAGATCGACATGTACATGAGGCGCAAGTGCCAGGAGTGCAGGCTCAAGAAGTGCCTCCACGTCGGCATGCGGCCCGAGTGCGTCGTCCCGGAGTTCCAGTGTGCCGTCAAACGCAAGGAGAAGAAGGCTCAGAAGGTAGGGGTAAGCATGCATCGATCCATCATGCTTAAGTTCGCCGCTCTCCTTTATCTTTCGTTCAGAGTTGTTGCGCGTTGTTGGCCTTAAGCACCCTTTAGCATCGTTGTTTAATGGCGCTCGGGGAGTGCATTTAGTGTAGAGCCGGACACTCGGTGGCCTAGGCACCTTTCTTTCGACATTACTTTTTCGGTGCTCGAATCGGTTAATTGCAAATTATCGTTAAGCCTCGGTACGCGAAGATAAGTACCTTTTCATATATGTTATATATATATATAACCTTTCACTATAATATATAAGTATCCTACGCCCGTATCGTTTATTATTATTATTATTATTATTATTATTATTATTTTATTTATTTTTTTCTAAATAGGATAATATATAGATAAATTCACTTGATCAGGCTTCTAAGCACATACGCAAATTTTATTTTAATCGTTATATTATCTTAAAGTTATTTATGACAATAATAATAGTAATTTCATCTTGTTATGGTGATTGACGAACGATTCGATCAAATAATGAGGAATATTCCTAGTCACGGACGTTTGGAATTTCAATGATACCACGTGCGTTATTTGTTTTATCAAATTATTATCTAATTAAAAATACAACAATTAAAAATTACGTCAAAAAAAAAAAAAAAAAAAAAAAAAAAAAAAAAAAATGATATTAAACCTATTGATAATGACCCTTAGTATATTAAAAGATAATTGCCCTAACGTTGAAAGTTAGTTGAAAATTTCAATTTAGAAAAATATACGCTCCTACAGAGAGACACGCGAAATATTAATATTCAATGGAACATGTAGACGATAAAAAAAAATATTTACCTACTGATTCGCTTTTAATAATAAATTTGCCGCTATTATTATTTTGTACGCACCGTATGGGTCAAAATTCCTTTAAAAATGCCATTATCTATAATAAACGTTTGTTGCGCACTCCATACTTCATTGTTAAATTAAATTACGTTTTCATTAGCTCTATGGTAATTAAGGAAAATCCTCTTGATTCGCTTTGAACGTCGTTAAGAACAACTGATAAGATGAATAAATTATATTGGACTAGATTAAAAGTAATAACTTTAGTTTACCTATAAGTAAAGACACTTTTAATAGTTTAATATCACCTATGTAGGTTGTATGAACGGAATATAAGAAATAATTTATGTTCAATCACGTGTTTAAAAAAGTCGTAAATAGCTGTTGCGTATGAAACTGGTAGTCAAAGGTTTGCTTAATTTATGGAAGTCGAGGCTGAGCTCGATATCTTAACTAATCCTTTAGCCAAGCTCTCCTCAAACCATGAAGATTAAAGTTTCGAAGAGGGGGTTGGGTTGATGGAGATAGAGAGAGAGAGAGAGAGAGAGAGGGAGGGGGGATAGAGAGGCAGATAAACAGTGGTAGTAAGAGTATATATAGAGATAGAGGATAGTGAAAGAGAGAGAGAGAGAGAGAGAGAGAGAGAGAGAGAGAGAGAGAGGGAGATAAAGAGTCTGATTGTAATAGTATAATATGCTGTACCTGCAGGAGAAAGACAAGCCGAACAGCACAACGATGAACGGATCACCGGGTGGTGGAATCGGCACGGCCGAACAAATGGGCGTTAAAATGGAACCCGCGGAGGCCGAATCCTACTCGATGTCCGGTAGTAGCGGCGTCGTCGCCTCCATAGGCTCCCACAATGGCATCAACTACGTAAGTCCCGAGCAGGAAGAGCTCATCAATAGGCTCGTCTACTTCCAGGACGAGTACGAGCAACCGAACGAAGAGGACGTGAAAAGGATCACGGTAAGAATTACTCCTAAATAACTCTTTATCATCATCATTCTAGGCTATCGTTCAGCATTCGTGGCTGCCGTGAGTTTCGTAACCCTGGCACTAAAGTTATCGTTGACCCTTATAGCCGACATTCCAAGACTTATCTGCCCGCGACATCATTACAAGATATGACATGACGCACATCGACTGCATCGAATTATTTCGAATACGACGAAAAAAGCAATGTTGGCCACTCGGTGCTCGTCGTGGCTAAATTTCGCGCAATAATCAAGTCGTCGAATGTACTTTCAACTCTGGCGATTTATCAACGCTTGCGTATCGTGGCCCGAGTCGCCGCCGCTCTCCTATTACATTATTTATTATTTTGACAAGCGAGATTAATATCCTACAGCCTGACACGTGTAATCCACTCGCCGTTCCTTCGCTCTAGTCGCACTCCTAAGCAATTCTACTCTAATTTTCAATAGCAATAGCAATAGCGGATAGAGTACGGATAGAGTGTAACGGCTGACTCATTGGCATATCACGGGTAAAAAAGAGTCAATTCTTCCAAAGTCGGTCGATCGTCGATCGTCCGTCGCCGCTTACCAATCGATCCTCCAAATCAGTTTTCGAGCTTTGCATTGTATTGGGTCGACGATTGCCCGTCGACGCGCCACGCACGGTACAATATCGCGATCTATTAAATGAGCGAGAGAGAAGAAGCTCTTTATCCTGCTACTCTGTCAATGCCAGTTCGGGCGCTAACCGTCCTCTCCTTAGCCCAAACACCGAGGTTGCGCACTGAGGTTGGCATGATGCACTCTCGTTACTTTCAGAATCAATCGACGGAGAACGAGGATCCGAGCGACGTAAGATTCAGGCACATCACCGAAATAACGATACTCACGGTTCAGCTTATCGTCGAGTTTGCCAAGAGGTTACCGGGCTTCGATAAGCTTCGGCACGAGGACAAGATCGTCCTGTTAAAGGCCTGCTCGAGCGAGGTGATGATCTTGCGGATGGCGCGCAAGTACGACTTCCAGACGGATAGCATTATATTCGCCAATAACCAGCCGTACTCGCGCGACAGTTACACCCTCGCCGGCATCGGCAACATCATCGACGACCTTCTGCACTTCGGCCGGCTCATGTACTCCATGAAAGTCAACAACGCCGAGTACGCCCTTCTCACGGCGATCGTCATATTTTCAGGTGAGTAAGGCCACAGCGTCACGTTTACACTCGTCCTCGCCTCATCCACTCCTGGAACAATCTCGTAGCGAGGGCGCGCCTTACCGTTGCTCCCCCCCCCCCACCGGACAATCTAATAATGTCACACTTGAACGATCGTCTCACGATTAAATACGTACGTTTACCAATTGACGAGGATATGTACGCGTTCGGAGCACGAGGCACGCACTAACAAGTTGCGTTAATAGCTGGAAATTATCCCGAGTCGATGTGGATACGCCGTATCCTTGCAGGCAACTTGATCGGACTGTCGCTTGAGCGCCAAGGATACGCGCGCGGGTATTGAACCAAACGTTTTACCATTTTCAGTCGTTGGAATATTTTTGATTTCTTTAATCACCCGTTATAGCCTACGATACTTATCTCTTGGCCATTTTTCGCCATTTCTTTAACAATGTTTCGGACTTGCAATTCGTAAAGAGACTGCTTTGTCGGCCAATTTATGGGAGTATGCCTAGAGGATTAAAAATCTCGTAGGATATTCGTAAGACGCGTCTGCTCCGAGGAGTTGATAATCCAACATTAATAACCATGCCTAGCTCTATTTGCTGTAAATCCGTCGTAATTTACGAATACACGATGATCGAATAATATGATGAATGAACGAGCGTAATGTTTAGTTTGGATTTTATAACATTCGTCGCTCGCTCGGTAAATATAGAGATTCTCACTAAGAGATTAATTTACATTTAATGGATGCACATCATTATCAACATTTCTATTTAATCACATGATAACGGTAATAGACGGCAATTTATTTAACACACGGTCGGTCATATATAAAAAATTTGTCCATATAAATCCCCTCCCAAATATTTATTTCTAAGATGAAGTGCCATTTTTATTAGTTTCATTGCCGCTTAAGCTGTAATAATTCATTGAAATAATCATAGTCACTAATCCCTTTAATTTTCATGATAATTAGCTTTGCTTAGCAAAGTTTGTTGTTGCTTACATTTTACAGAATATGTTAAGATAGCAGAATTGTCACAGAATTTGATAGATTGGCTATTGATTAGTGATACGGTATATTCGCTATGTGTACATTATAAGTAGTAAATGCAGATAATTTTACATCCCTTACACATAATTAATATAAAAAGTCATTTCAAATCAAAATTAATAATCCATATCGTGATATTAATAATTACATAAAGCCATTTCAAGTTAGGTGTTATATATCATGATGGGAGACTGTTAGGCAATTTTTACCAAACTTAATATTACATGTAAGGATAAGTATATGTTGTACATGGAAATTAAAAATTAAAATAATGTTAAATGTATAAATTTTAGAGTCATGATCATAATCAATAAATCAGTGTACATCGAAAAGTTATTGACTGTTAAAAAAAAAACATATAATTTAACTATGTGTATATATATATATATATGTATGTATGTAACCAAATGTGAAGCCTTGAAATTAATGAATAAAATCAATTGGATTGCTGTATCATAATATGGAGTGTTACATAAATCAAATATAATATGAAATGAAGAAAAAAAAAATGTATAAAACAGATGCGAACGGTGAAGGAGAGTTCTGATAATTTATGATATGTTAGTAAAATAATGAATTCTTAGTAATAATTATTCGTATCGTCATTCAGAGTTACTTCTCAATCTTGCAATTTTTTGTCTTACCTACACTATAATGCAAGTCTCTAAATTCAGATGCATTACTCGACAACTATTACAATGCAAAACATAGCCACGGTATTTTTCTTATTATAATCGCGTTTAAATATACTCCCGCATCATCATTCGATAAAAAAATAAATAAATAAATAAAAAACGCGTATTCTGTAATTAAAGATGATTAAAAATATGCAAATTATATTAGAGTAATTTAAGGCACCTAAATGTTAGTATTTACTGTCGCATAGAACATAACTTTCATTGTCGGCACAAATATTACATATCCAGGACATATCCAGTCGCACATTGTCGTAAGAATTCGTTAAGCGCGTTCGCTCAATAATCATAGCCATAGCCCCATACCACTCTATTCTCCTTCATTACTACCGCCACTTACTAATAAGTAAGCCGCCCCCCCCCCCTTCCCGTGCACGCGCGCGCACACGTGTGTCACGAATACACAGAGAGAGAGAGAGAGAGAGAGAGAGAGAGAGAGATACTGGCTAAAACTTAGCGTTATGTAGGTAGAGAAAGCGGCGCAGAGGGCCAGATTACCCGGAGGCCGTTGCACCGCTGCGATTGATTGCACGCCAACATTGTAATTGTTATGAATTCACAGAGAGGCCGAACGTGTCAGAGGGCTGGAAGGTCGAGAAGATCCAGGAGATCTACTTGGACGCCCTGAAGGCGTACGTGGAGAGTAGACGGAAGCCGAAGGCGAGCGCGATGTTCGCTAAGCTCCTATCCGTTCTCACTGAGCTCCGCACCCTTGGCAACCAGAATAGCGAGACCTGCTCGAACCTCAAGCTCAAGAACAAGAAGTTGCCGCCGTTCCTCGCGGAGATCTGGGACGTGGCGTCCTAGTCGCCCAGCGCCCGAGAACAATTGCGGGAAAAAGCCAGCGGGTCGGCCCCTGTCCACATCGACATCGTCGTCGTCGCGCGTGACTTTTGTACTAGTGCACCACTATGCCACTGCCCGACGATCGTCCTCGTCGACTGACGCCCGGCGGCGAGCCGCTCACCGCTTCGACATCTCCTACAACTCGCCCGTCTGGCTCGTTGTCTCCCGGCCTCCCTCTAACACTCTTCGCTCCCCGATCCCTGGATACTCCAATTCTTAGCCGTGCGTTATTTTTCGCCGTCTCATCGAGGTCCTTCCACGGTCCTTGGGGCACTTGCGAAGTGTCCGCCGACAGTGAGACGGATCGAAAAGAGCTCATCGTTGAGAATACGCGCCAGGAGATCTAGAGATCTAGCAATATAGAGTGGGAGAGTGTGAGAGAGTGAGAGAGGGTGAGAGGGTGAGAGGGTGAGAGGGTGAGAGAGAGAGAGAGAGAGAGAGAGAGAGAGATAGATAGATAGAAAGAGAGAGTGTGTGTGGGGGGGGGGGGGGATTGGGTCGTCGAGAGCAGTGGCGAAGGTACCCAGGCTGTGATACGTAGAGACAGTACAGAGACTATATAAGGATCTACCCACACATATATATTATGAAAAATTACACATCAGATTCACGCGCGAACACGCGCGTACACACAAGCAGACACGCGCACACATAAACAATAAAACCCGCACGCACACGAACAATACATTACAAACACCACGCGCGCGTGCACGCACGTATGTATATGTTTATGTATATGTATATACACATGTATATGTACGTATATGTATAAATGTCATATATGCATATATGAATCTATATTATGCGTATACTAATGAAGATTATCCTAAAGGATAGACCTGATATCAATACATAAATGTAATGTAAAGATGTAAGGCATACGTAGTGTGGATAAGAGCAAGAAAGTGTGAGTTGGATTAGAGCGATTGTGAGAGATGAAGAGAGAGAGAGAGAGAGAGAGAGAGAGAGAGAGAGAGAGAGAGAGAGTGAGAGAGAGAGAGATTGAGAAAGAGAAAGAGATATATATATATAAAGATATATACAGATATATAAAGATAGATAGGGAGAGAGAGAGAGTGATTGAGATAGAAAGTAAAAATGAATGTGAAGAAGAAAAAATGTGTGTGGAAGAGCGATAGTGAGGAAGCGTGCGAGGTTTTAGAGACTGCGAGCAGTTGGCACTGTTGAGCAGTTGCCTCGGCGTAAGTCACGAAATGTGAGCGCAATAATATGATATAATGCGTAACGAATACAATAGAGTCTATATCACACACACACACACACACACACACACACACACACACACAAACAAACAAACAAACAAACAAACAAACAAACACACGTACACGCACGCACACGCACACACGTAAGCAGACAGAAAGCATAATAATATATTGCTAGCATGTATGTTGTTTATATGAAAGGGAGAAAGAGACAGTTTAAGAGAAAGTGGAATGAAGTAAGGGAGCGAGTGTAGAAGCAATAGGAAAAGCTGCTTTCGAGAGATCGGCGATCGCTTATTTTTCAGGAGCCAAAACAAATTGTCATAGAATAAATAATAAGGAAGTTTACTAGAGATCGTTTGAGAGATGCATCTGCTGATTTGGTAAAGACAGAGAGAGAGAGAGAGAGAGAGAGAGAGAGAGAGAGAGAGAGAGAGAGCGTTAATAATGTAGGTTGTAGTCAGTCAGCTTAGAATAGGTGACCGAGTTCAAGTGCAAAGCCCTGTGCCTTCAGCAGCGGACATCGGCTCACTGACAAAACGAAGAAAAAAAAATATAAAATTTAACCGTCCGTTTTAATTTTGTAATAAAATCAACAAAAGCGTTAAATATTATAAAAATCTGAGATGAAATTCATGAAATAACGTTTATTATTGTGGTGTTGCGAGGAGGGGTGGGTGGGCGGGGGGGGGGGGAGATAGAGAATAGCGATGGGGTAGCATGGTAGTAGAAAAGCTAGTAGGTGAACAGGAGGGATGGCTTGGCATTATCAACAAATAGGCCAACGAGTGTCAATAAGGCTTGGTAAGGATACGGCTTGTTCGTTCGGAGGATCATTCGGAGGATTCGCGCGTAATTGCCAATGCAATCCCATAATTAATGGAGTGTCGGGAAGCAGTAATTGGTGCGCATGCGCTTTCGGAAATCGTATTATTAAATAGAGGCGAGGAATGACGTATCTGAGTCGAGGCGATATGCTAGCATATTTTACGAAAGATAATCTAGATTATTAATGATGAAGCATCGTAAAATTTATATGAGACGAGGACAGTTTAAATTTCATTGATCGATGGGCGTCGTTAAAGGCTTCGATAGGCTAATCCGTGATATTCCGAGCGCGCAATGATATCGCGACGCAACGAACATCATAAACAATGCAAGATAATATTAAAGCCCAACGTACATTCTTTAATTCCTTTACATAGATACATAAATACACTCGTACCAACAAAGCATACGAATAAGCACATAAGCTAACAAACTAACAAGCAAATACAAAATTGCGCCTACAACAGAGCACACGAAGATATTTCGAGAAAGCAACAAACAAACAAAAAATAAATAAATAAATAAATATATATATAAATATATATATATGAAGAAAAGAGAAGCAAAGAAAAAAAAAATGATTCGAACGTGCGCGCAAACTATGTAAGTTTTTCGATGTTGTAATTCTGTAATTCTGTGCTGTTAAAACGATCTTACAATTAATTATATCACATAGTAAATACAATTTCTTACGGCTGCTAATCGAGTGTGCGCGAGTGTATAAAGAAAGAAAGGCAGCACTTTCAACTGTGCAATTTCTCGCGATCCACGTTCATGTTGGATAAGCAACTGATAGCATATTTGCGGCTCGATCATTGTTGTCCTTAAAATTCATTGTTTGAAAGGTTGATGAGAAATTGATAAATTAGTCACTATTGATTAGAGGGACGGACACGAGGCGCAATATTACGAGCGAGGGAGATAGATCGTTTATTTAAAAATAAGACTGCGTAAGCGTGCTTTCATTACAAGAAAAAATATCTGCGCACGAAATTTTCAGACAACTCAAACAACCATTGAGCTTAAAGATAAATCTTATTAGACGCCGATGTTGAAACTTCCATACATATATTATGATTGCCTAACGCAAGCGCAAGGAGAGAAATTTTAAGAATAATAAGTTTGCAAAAAGAAAGAAAAACAAAAAGAAAAAGAAAAACAAAAACAACAAAAAAACAAAAAAAAAAAAAAAAACAAAGTATGTTCTTTTGTAAAAAGTAACAAACAAATAAGATAATAATTCTTAATGAGTATACGTTATAGCACGCTCACACGCAAACACATACCGAGAGAGACATTTAAACACAAATGCATTGTATGAAAGTTTAAAGAAACACCGATACGGAAATACAAATAATAGGACAGCATCGTCTCTTATAAACGTTATATAATTACGTGTTATGTAATTATGTTATCGTGTGACACACACACACACACACACACACACAAGTGCGGCTAATATCATTTCACAAAGGATATATCTGCTTATCGTTCGCTCAATCGGTTGGCCTTCATTTCGCTTTAGATCCAAAGGTACGCGAAGCCAATAGGGGAGGCATAGTCGTAGTGACGGAAACATAGCTTCCGCAAGTCTCCATAAATCAGCAACCGCCGGCAACGGACGGCCAGCCGCGCTCGCATTACGTCACGGCTCAAGTTTAACAACTAGCCCGACTTGCTTGCTCCTATTAAATCCAAGTGAAGTTCGGTCGAGCACTTTGAATCGTCATTTGTCCCAGGATATATGGCCAACGTATTTCTCAAAATAGCCCTAATCTCCGAATTTTATTAATTTCCATCCTATCGAAGCGATTCCACGCCCATCCTTAGGTTCTGCGCCCGTGATTTCTACTCGGGAGTATAATAATATTTTGCAATAGTTTGGGCTCCTTCGAGTGGATAATCTTCTGGAATGTGTTTTCTGGCAATCGATCGCCTCCCGATGCCCATTATACGGTTGACTCCCGTTAACGAAGGGCAATTTTAAAGGCAAATAGCTGACCACGAAAGGTTAGGAAATAGTGAGAAAAATGCCGCTTCCTGATCATTCTCAACAACACATTTGAAAATAATAATATTTTAACTCGACTAGTGGGAAAATGACGGAAGAGCTTGACTTTGAGACAATATTCGTTGCAGTTTTTTTATTTCCTAGGCTCAGTGGTCAATCTAAAGCGATCGATATTCCAATTGACATTGAAATTTGTAAGATGATATTGGCAAATATTGAAAAATTTGAAGAATGGCTAAAGCATTCTCAAATGTCCGATGTACAATCGATGGTGATTATCACTGCCCGTCGTTAATTTCTTTTGGCGATTCGCTAAAATTTGGCGATTTAGAGACGACGCTTAAGCGGATCTTTACAGCTGCCAAGCTGTATAGTCTCGCATCTTCAATAGTTCGGACTCTCGATTTCGTTTTCTCTTTATAATTAACTCGGCTGTCCCTATCGATCGGCAACAACTTAACAACTATGATGGCCTTCCATTAGCCGAGTATTATTACACACAGCCACTAACGATATTAATGTCTCTTTTAACGTCCTCATACCTATTATATTTTGTGGGTGTTGGATCGTTTATTTTGAGGTAGTTTAGCGATTACCAGATACTTATATCAACTGCCAAGCCAATGTGATCGTGCATTGGGAGAGTATTTTTACAATGCTATAAGAGTATTTATTTTTCCCTCGAGAGGCGGATATTGGAATTACTTATTCTCGACTGTGTTTGTTGAAATTGGCACGGACGAAAATCTCAAATGAAATAAATCGGGAGGTAAGGAGCCCAGTGAATTATTACGCAATTGCCTACCGGAACCGAGGCTCAAACGGATCATTCCAAGTAGCACGTAGTGCGTGGGCGATCTAATCACTCATCTCAATTGACAGTGGGAGTTTTATTTATGATATGTTTTTAATAACATCGTTATGGCATCGTTTCGTAAATTTAGTGTTTGTTTTGAAAATTTCGTTCTTCGACTTTAAGAATTATGAATTTGAATTATCACTCCCTTCCTACGCTCATCACGGAATCTTGGCTCGCTCGGCTGCGTCTTCTCTTCGTGCATTTGTGTCATCGAGTCATCGACACCATGGCCGCCTTAATAATTTTTCACACACCAATTGGCATCGTCCACATACTACGCTACAAATAATCATTTCCACTTATTAAGCAACATTATCGTATTGCTCTTTTCATCATCTTCTTCCTCGAGTTAGACAAATCAGTTTTTCTACCTTTTTACCTAGCTGAAACGCCGTCATAAGTGGGCCAATTTTTGCCCTCAATTATCCACTCGTTTAGTCAGAGTTGGAAGGAGCT